TGCTAGCCGGACCGAGCGACGGAGGGTACGGCGGCACAGTTAGAGGTATACACGCCGATTTAGGACGCTAATTCCAATTTGCAATTCGCTATTGGGTAATTGCTGCCCATTAGAGGGAGGCCATTTTCGGCTGCTACGTAGGCGTAGTAGAGCCGCGTCCGCGGGAGCTATGTACTCGTGACAGCGGAGCGAGGACAGGATCGATGCACCTCCGAGTAAAAGACGAGCCGTGCACTATTTCCGATGAAAAATCCAACGAAAGGATATCTTTAATTAAAATGAGATTTCTAATTCAATGACAAAAAGCACAAACAAGTCTATCTTGTTCCTATACATTTTTATCCCATTTTTTTAATTGCTATCATTATGATGAATCCCGAAATCGAATTTCATGCTACGCACACGCGAAAAAATTGATCTCAACTTTTCTCATAATTTTGTTATCGCAAATTAGCACAAGGATCGGTTTTTCTGTAATATATTATTTTTGTCATGCGCGAACTGTTTTCTTTTGCTATAATTACTCTAGCTCTAGATGCAATCAGATTCTCTCTACAATAATTATTTATACGTTCATCTTCTAAGAAATGTGGAAAAAATACGGAGACTAGGTTTATTTAAAAAATGAATTTTTTATTTTTAATAGTTAATAAATATTTTTGTAATACTTTTAGCAACAGAAAATTTGGCAAAAAGTTTAATTTAATTATTAATTGCGATATAAGATATTCAAAATAAGGAAGTACATATTATAATTGTATATAGCAGAATAGTATTTCTATATAAAATGTATATAATATATAAAATAATTATTTTACTACGGGGAATATGTTGCGATACTTTTCCATCGTGGCGCGAAGCATTCGGGTCATTCGGTAACGCGCCAACATTCCGGCGACCGACGCAAAAAGGACTAAAAACGAAGGTGAAGTTCCTGCGGGAGCTCGGATCGAGTAATCAGTTTTAATTAAGCGTACCTTTCGCCCGGGAGTTAACGAGGGTAGTTACTCGTTAGTCCGAGATACCGTGCGATTCGCCGACCCTAAAAAAAAGTCGCACGAGATCCGATCTCGGCTCAGTGGAACGAAGAGTTACATGCGGATAATTAATTTCGTAAGTATTTCATAATAATCGTTCAAAATATAACAATGATTTTATTCCGGATTTTAAATCGTGTTATGCCTCAAAAATCAATACATTACAAAAAGACTGTAAAATAATAAACGTAGAAAGTCGTGTATTTTATTTGCTGATTATAAATTATTATAATTAGCTTAAAAATATAATTGATATGAAAGCTGATTTCTTATTGATTATATAAAATTATAGAAAAATACTGGCTCGTCTCCATTAAATATCTATATCTTTTAACGACGCAAAGCAAAGTTCGCTACGATACCTACCGCATCACCATCCCTCATTGCTACGCAAGGATATTCATGCGACCGGTAAAATGTAATTTTTCGGGGGATAAACTTCCGGGGGACGAGATGGTACGACGAAAAGCAGGCGCTTTAAGTACAGATAATAGGTGGTGTTTACCGCCGCGATGATCGGCACCATTTAAGGGTGGCCCGGCATGAAGCGGCCGATGGGACCCCAAATAAATTAAATTATCATGATAAAAGCCCCCTCCCGTCCCTCTATTCGATATAAGAGCGCGAATGGTGATTGTCCACTCGATAAAGTCTCCCTTCTCATGTTTACCGACATCTGTCACAGTTTGCGCATTTCCCGATCGACGTGCAATGTGCCAAATGATCAATTTAGCGGGACACAGCGCATTCTCCGCGTGTCAATGAAATTAGGGCAATTCAAGCGCAAATGTATCAAAAAGGATTGCAGAAATTAATTATGGCAATTATTTATAAAAATTAATGCTATTTAAAATGGGGCAATCGTCCAATTTTAATTTTGGAGGTAAATAATGAAAAAGAGATGTATTACTCGTTGAACATTCTTCGGTAATTTATAATATATATTTTTTACAATTTTTATTGCTAAATTTTATTAAATGTGTTGGCCTCTATTTTATATCATATATTTATCGATATCATTTTACTCCTCGATTATCTTTATCGACTTCGTGATTGCACGGTACATCGCATTGCGTTTATTTATTAGGCTACGAAGGGATTGTTTGCAGTTAGTTAGCGCTATAGTTAACGCGACACCCCTGATGATAGAAGGGTATGTACCGTATGTCAGTAACCAACCCCCTCGATCGCGGCAGACGAATTTCTTTGGTGCGCTTATAACGCCGAGTAATGCGCCGCGCCGGTGGCTCAATGAATAATTATCGCGAGCCGGCCAATTTGGCGACGAAGGGTTCGATAATTTATGACGGCTATTTATCCGACCGCTCTTCTCGCTTCTTAAACTTTTAAAGGAGAATGGATGCGACCCTTAAATGTCAGAACTCGATCACGTTGCGTTTTCGTCTTTAGCGGGTTAAAATGTTACGATCTCCGCGATAAAATTAACGGCCTTATTATTTTCAAAATTTTATAATATAATTAATACGGTTCTAGCTCTTCCTCAAAAGTTTCTATAATGTTTTCAAAAAGAGCCGAGATAATTAAACGTAGAATATAAATTTCTATATAAAAGTGCAGATATAAAAGCGGATCGCGCGCTCTATATTTTCGTCGTACGATAATTAGTCATAACTTTTTTATTTTAATCACAATCAATTCACATCCACGTTCACGAATCCCACAATGAAATTCACGCCGATTACTGTTATTACTGATACATTATCATTATCGTCTGAAATTAATCGGGAAAATACTGTGAGGAATTATAGATGCCCGAACCTTATCTCAGTCCTCTCGACCTTTTGATCACGTTGACCAAAAGTGATTGCAGATTAAAATTTTATGATTGATTGTAGAATTAATGTAATCACATGTCAATCGCAATAAAGTTGAGCAGCTACAAAATTGCTTTATCTCGAAGATTAACAAAGTTGCGATAGATAAACCAATGTGAAAAAATTCGGTAATTTATAATACCGTATGATATGCAAGCGTGTCAAGAGAATCTAATGGATACCGAGTGCACGGTGTGTCCGGACGATGAAATTGAAAAAAAGGACATAAAAATAAATCATGACGGAACGGGCGAGGAGCGCAATGGCGCAAATAATAATTGTCACGAATCAGCGGGGAGGGAAATCATCGGTCAGGCCATATGTGCCCAGCAGGGAAGAGGGGGGCCGAACTCCACTTTGTCCAACGATAAATAACCCAATAAATGTGCTACAGTCTAAATACTAACAGCTATCAAATGTAGTCTCTCGTCCCTCGCGCGTGACGCGCTTGCTCCCGTGAACAATCGTCAAAAAGTCCCGCGTGTATTTTTTTTTAAATTCGTAACGCTTTTATAATTACTATACTCGACAAATGCAAAATGAGAGGTCAAATTTGGGTAAATGTGGACAGTAAGAATTTAGTAAAATTACTTGAACCATCTTATTCGAATTTAAACTAAACGAAATTTTAAATTTCCCATGCACACACACACACAAAGATATATTATTCTAATGTATTATATTTATTAATCTAATATTATTTATATAATTTTATATGTTTCTCTGATACATATTACATATTATTACTCTTTTCTTGATGCTTGAATTGCGTTAAATTTGCGAAAATACATTACGCCCCGCTGTGTGAAAGACCGATAATACGACATCGAAATATCAAAACTGCCGCTTATTTGTGTACCAGGCGTGAAATCGCGCGGCCCCACATCGAAATACGCGGGTCTCTCTTTGAGGAAGAGCGAGAACGTGCGTACCTGCTCGCAGCTTAGTGAATCACGCGTCGACCGGTAATCCGAATGCGCTCGACTAAATGCCGCCATGTGTACAAACACTGACAGCCGGTCACGCACTTGCTAGTTAAGTTACGAGGGTGCTTAAGCCAGTGACGCAAGGCCCACCTCCCTGCTAATCGTGGAAACCCGGTGGACATAGCGCTCGGCAACAACAAAAACACGTGGCATCGCGGTGACAAAAATAACGGCGTCTCTCACGTACACGCTGAAGTTCGAAACCTTGGACCAAAAAATATTCTGCAAACTGAATTTTTACAAGAATTGCATTTTAATGATTTCGCCCCAAACGTGTCATTTCAAACAATTTTATTCAACGATTCTTTCAAATTTATAAAGCTGATTTATAAATTCTCAAATTTTGATATATCTCAAATTTTATTTATCAATTTATTTTGCATTAGAAAGGTAATCGCAGTGAATTAACTTAATTGCAATTTATATTATTTCTAAAAAAATTACTAAAAGAAAGAATAGTCACGCATTTAGTTATTAATACGTAATAATCGTATTTAGAAGTTCTGGATAAATAATTAATGTGAATATACATATACAATTGTATGGCATAACATATTCATCACACATTGATCAATAGCAATTCTATCATGATTACGTCGATCATTTCGTCAGACTCCACGGCGTCCTACGCCTATGGTGTTATAAGTCGGCAATTCTCCCCTGACCAAGAGTCATTCACGGGGCTAATTGCAGGGGCGGCTTTCCACCCCTATCGTCTAACCCCAAATCATCCCCCGTAATCCATAGGGATTTACACTCACGATAATTGCATTAGCATTCGATGATTTTTATTGGATCGTCCGGATCGCAATAATGAATCATTTTTGTCCTCCAAATTTTGCCGGACTAAAATCGCATTTAATTTGCGACTTTTATCGGATACAAACAAATTTAATAAAGCAATATTTTTAATTAAAAGTTTTCGTTATGCAAAAATCAACACGACGTCAGAAATATATTTGTTCGCAGTTTTATATGACGTTATTTATTTCGCGTATCTTAATTATTGAGTTTTTTAATTTATGGCTCATGAGCAAATATTGTTGTTCGAGTTAATATAATAACACTATTATTACAGTACCATTATAAGTTACAAAAAGTATACAAAAATATTTCTTGAACAAAATATTTTTTTGTAATAGGTTGCGCGGCACAGCATGCATTGCTGGGCAAAACTAGGAGGCCTAGGACCGCCTTTACGTCCCAGCAGCTCCTCGAATTGGAGAAGCAATTCCGACAGAACAAGTACCTCAGCAGACCGAAGAGGTTCGAGGTCGCGACGTCGCTGATGCTCACGGAAACGCAGGTAAATCGAGATAATGATGTTGAATTGCGCATTACCTTCCTCGATATCCCAAATTCAATAACGGCCCAATTCAATAAACGAACGTGAATCATCTCTCGTACGATAAGTATCGCGATTAGCCATTTTTATTACTCACGTCTGAGCAGAAAGAAGAAAATGCGAATCGTGAATCACCCGTAATACGAGATCCGCGATAAAACATGCAATAAAATGGCTTTTATCGACATCGTCCATACTATAGAAATCTCGAAGAGCACCAAATAGCGAAACCCGATGAGAATTCCGTTATAATTTCGTTGTCGTTTAGCATTGTAACAGTTTTCATCAAAACTGCTATGTAAAGTTAAAAAAAGACTGCATGGGTTATTTTACATAAAATCTATTTCCTCTCTCGGGAGAGGTATCTTTGCATAATTATATATCCGATTGATACGGAATCGCTCGCGGAAATCGTTAAGAAATCGAATCGATAATTTCCCAGGGGGAGGGAAGAGGGAGACAAAGTTAGAATCGAGTTGGCGTTAAGTTATAGCGTCGAGAGTCGGCCCCGTGAGAAGTTAAGTTGAGCGACGTCAACCGGTAAATAGCGCAAAAATGGAAATTCGCGAGGTCACGGGGGAGCGCGATGAGCACTCGGGAGAGGGGAAAAAGAAGACCCTCGAAAAGAGAGAAAATCCCTTCGAATAATCCGGCCCGCCCTATACCTCCATCCGACGCCCGACGTGTGCACGCGCGAATCCTCTCTCGCATAGTTCAACAACTTAAACATAACTCCGAAGCTTACGAGCCCTGACGGATCGCTCGGCAAACAGACGTGAAAGTCTGAGTTATGGCGGGCTCAGTCGCTGATTTGTTTCGATATTTTACCGATTCCGCCTCGCTCCTCGCCTCCGCCTCGGCCTTCCTCGTCCTCCTCCTTTCCCGGGGCCTGATGCTGTTACCCGTTTCACGTCTGAGTTCCGCGCTTGCAGAAACGCGATTACCGGCGATTTACCGTCCAAGCGCGAGCATCACGACGAAACGCGTCGCGACGCCCGACGAAGAACGCGTTTATTTGAAAAGGGCGAAAGCTGTGCAGCTCCCAATAAATCTCTCTACATTGCAATTTTTGTCATTATCAAGTCAAGTAATTTTTTAGGGACGTGGACACTTGTATGAAGACGCCACGTATTCGTAAAAGTTATCGCACGTAAATGTTATTGCCAAATCATTTAACATGAAAATTCACGAAATGTAGCAGTTCGACCATTTCTTGTGATATATAAGCATATTTTTCGACGAGTTATGCATTCTTTTATGTTTTCCGCACGATTGTTTCCCTTTGGATTCTTACCAAATTGATTCGACGTTATTGCGACAATGGCAACGCGATTTCCTGCTCGCTGAATTAATTAAGCTCGCCGAATTAATTAGTTTGAAGTCCGAAATTCACGGTTCAATTGTCGAAATCGTGATCGTCGACGTAATAACATGCAAGATCTATATATACGCATCGATGATCATCGATTCATCAGTGAGAAAAATATCTTCGGCCAATTAGCGCAATCGCAATTGAGATCGTATCGTAGATCGAACGCTCTCGGAATCCCATGATTCACCGTCGTTCGGTTTCCCATGTACAAGATGTCGATTAATTTCGGCTCGCGAGATAATTTACAACGCGATTTATTTGTTCTCTTTCTCGCTCGCTCGCTCGTTCTTTATCGCTCGTCGGTTTATCGGCGATATAACAAATATTTATTTTCGCGAGCGTCGAATCGCTTTTTCTCCCCCCCCCTCCCCCCATCTCTCGATCCATTTTTTCGACTGACTCGCTCGCACCTACAATTCGCACCTTCTCGCCCGCCTTTCCTCTCCCCCTTCCTTCAAATTCAATCCCCCCGCGCTTGTTTACCTCGCGCTCCGAATTATTTGTTAACGCGACGCGAATGATTTACGTAAGTCCCCGTCGTTTCGTCTATCGAATCATCCAGCTGATCGATAAGCAATGGCACACCCGCTGTTTTAATGCAAAACCCTATATTTCAAGAGAAATAAATATTTTCATCGCAAACACACTTTTAATCTTCAAATTGTATTATAATGTTAAACTATTTTCTTTTTTTTTATTCACGAACCTAAAGTTTTATCACAAACAAATATTTTGTTTGAATTTATATGTGAACATATGTGAAATGTAACAATCATGAAAAAGATTGTTTTCACTGAGATGTGCTTTACTGTGACGCGATTAGGATTTTATATGTATAATCTTGTCACACGCAAGATTCTTCGAGTAGCAAGAATTCGGCGAAACGTTCACAGATTCTTCCATTCGTATTCGTATGAGAAAGCCGCGCTCCTACACGGAGGGTAAAGATATAATACGGTTGGTGTGTCTGGAGGGGATTGGCCCGGGCGCATGATATGTTGTCCGAAAGATTTACATCGTTTTCTTACGATTGGGGAGGAAAAATCGAGTCCCTGTATCTGTCTACCTGATTTACTGCGTCTCGCGGGGTGGCTCACGTGACGTTGCCCGCGCTTATAGAGCACGCATTCGCCAAATTAAATCGGGCGCCGATCGAAGACAATCGCCACCGACAACTCGTCAATTCTTATAATTAGCGCCTTTGCACCTATTATCGACACGAAATTGAAATTATTAGAAAAATCTTTCAATTCGCGAACGTATCCACGAATGAGTTTTAATTGTTTAATATCTGGAGCATAGAAGGTCTGAAATACTCAAAAGACTACTATTTGTTTTTTAATTTCAAAATTTATTATACAGAATAACCGATACTTTGATTTCATATAAGATAAAAAGAAATTACTTGTGACGTAACAAAACTCGATGCTTGTTGAAAACTTGCATTGCGATTAATATATTTTTATATTTCCACGTGTAATTTATTAGTCACGATTAAAATAAACAAATTTGACAGCTTTTATTTTTTCTTATTGCTTCGCGTTTAAATAATACATTTATATACATTTTATCATATCATACTTGTAATATAAATTTATTGCGACATTGCGACAAATTCTGTTTTTCGCGAATAGTATTTCGTAATTATCTAAAATTAAATGCGAGATAAGTGCCGAAATATTTTTATCAAATATCGCGCGCGATAGTTGTTAGTTCCCCGAAATCGCTTATCGCTATACGCATATAATTCCTCTAATCTCTCCTCGCGTCGTGAAATTTTACCAAATTTACACGGTGTCGACTCGCCGCGAATAATTACACGGTGCACTCTCATTGCAGGTGAAGATCTGGTTTCAAAATCGCCGAATGAAATGGAAACGCAGTAAGAAGGCGCAGCAGGAGGCTCGTACGAGCGGAAAGGTCGAGGAAGCCGGAAGCGCGAGGAGTGCCGATAGGGACACTGGAAGTGACGTCAGCGTGAATGCACCTGGAACACCGGAGGAATCTAGAGGAACGCTCCAGGAAAGTCAGAGAACTGGAACGGACCTCCAGGAGCCTTTGTATCGGCCTTACGTGGTCTAAAAGAGCAACGGAAGCATTTAACTGTTGGGGGACCAACATTTTTCGAAAATGCGCGAAAAAAGAACAGTATTCGCGAACGTACACAGACGTTTCAGCCGCTCATTTTATTTTATACATAATTATTTTGGATGTAGATATATTTTATTTAACTATATTTTATTTAAATATTATTAATTTAATTAGGTGGCAAACACAGAATATACGAAAAAGAAATATTTCTCTTAAAATGTTAAAAGAAAAATAATTGTTGGTCCCCTAACGGTTAAAAAGATGTAAATTATCACTAAACTGATTGTTTCTTGGAAAATTGAGTTGTTCAGAGAAACGATTTCAAAGTCGAGTGCGAATCTAAAGATTCGATTAATAAAACTAAGTTCTGCTTGTTAATTTGACTGCGTGATTGTTCCTGTATAGATACTTTTTATAGTGAGAAGCAAAAGTATCCCGCTTTACTATCGATTGCGACATAATTTTGATAGTCGATCGTAACAGTAAAAGTTGTTATGACTTACTATCAGAGATTGAAAGCGACATAATACTGATTTTTCGTCGGTGAGTGCATCAGCTTGCGCCCATCTATTGTCACGAACAAACGTGGAAATTATTTTCGCGTGCATCGATCTCAATGAATTTCGGTCTCTGCTTATTGTTGAACACAGTTTTCTACCAAAAAAACAGTCGATCTCTCGTGTGTGTATATATCTCACCTCTATAATTTACTATATCAAAAGTTCTGATGTAAATAAGTGCGAACGAGACGATATTCACGAACACGATCATTAACGATACCTCGCTTGTTAATCACACGGTTATTAGATACACAAGTGTCACTGCTGATTCTAGAGAAGCGTCTTGCTCAAAACCAGCGGGATATTGGTTTTATAATCGAATTATCTTTTTATTGCCTGCCGGAGAAAAGGCGGACAATAATCGCGTTTCGAGCATGCAACAACTGGAAGATCTACGCGCCGTGATCGTGCGATTTAACGATCGACGCGCATATGTGACAGCGAAGATCTACCTTCGGGATTTATGAAGCCTCGAGACGGATGCCATTTAATCTAAATTCATCGTGTATATAGACATGACTAGATAGTATTTATTCTGTGTTCGCTCGGCTTGTAAGATAGAAGAGACGCCAGGCAGACGCTGGAATCGCGAAGTTGTTAATATAAACGGTGTAAAGAGAAAACAGGACGGTATAGGATCGTTCCTGTCCAGAGGTACAGGCGTTACTCGAGCATTGTCCCATACGAGTGCGCGTGCGAGCGAGAAGCATGTATTTACGATGTGAGTGTAAATATTATCCGCATAGGTTCTAAGTTAGTGAATGCGATGCAAATACACGGTATGATAATATCGCGAGAAGTTCCTAAATAAATTATGAAATCGAGCAAAGTCGCTGCGTTCTTCTTTCTCCATGAATGTCATTTTCTCCTAACAGGCGTTTATTTTTAACGCTTTGTAACTTTAAGTGGATATTTATTTATTTCGGCAACTATATGTGTGGGCCAGTGCCACACATTCGATCTGGAAATATTAATTACTCATGCTAAAATTATGTAATTTTGATTAAAAATTATTCGTTTTTCGACAATTTTTAAAAGAACCAGTTTTTGACGATAGCAATTCCGTAGGATTAAATATTTTCTTATATCAGTTATATTTATTTTTAGACTATTTATTTTTAGAATAAATCTATCACAATTATCTAAAAATATTTATATCTATTCTTCAAAGTGCCATACGTTATTTGATACATTATTTGATTTGACATACATTTACTCAAAAATTATTTGAAGACAGTTTATTTCGATGTACAAAATTAATTTTTTCTTATTAAAAATCAACTAAATTGCTAAATCAACCGAAAAATCCGTCACGACCGCAATATCAGATTTTACTTTGCATTTCGAACAATAAATGCTCAGATCTGCTCGTATTCAGCCGCGTGTGCGAGGGAGCCGGGTCTCATGTTATTTGCATGATGGCCGCTGATTGGTATATGGCTTGTAAATGAGAAGCTTCATCCCCCGGCGGATAACCACCCCCGAACGGGCCTGACTGGTGGGTACTCGATGGAGAACCGAATGGCGTGTTTCGAAAGGCACCCGAAGGAGTAGCGCCGCGCTGCGCCATCAGTATTTATGACATGCTAATCCCCAGTTACGAATTCCGCGACATTCCGCGGGATCCGGCGGCGGAGAGCCGCTCATTCGGAAAACGTCATCACTCGGCGAAACGGCGCAAGAAGGAGGTAAAGTCGTATTTGACGAATGCGGATCGATGTCACTACTTGCTGCATTCCCCCGCGCTGCCATTCCCTTTTTCCGAGCTCGAAAGCCGTCGCGCAAAAATCGAAGACATCAGATGTATTGATAAATTGAGAGATTCAGTGAAAAAGAGATATGAAAAGAAAGAGAAAAAAAATATAAGTACAAATAATATATATATATATATATATATATATATATATATATACATCTTGTTATACTTTTGTTATACTTTTGTATATATCTACCATAAGTATATCAAACAATAAAATTAATTTCTTGAAAAGAAGATGTATATGTATATAGATATAAATAAAGTTTCAATTTAGATATCTCTTAGGTGATTTTTACAGCATTTTTTATTCGCGAATTGAAGAAATCATTCGAGCTAAATTTGATCATCAAACATTATCAAGATTGTACCATGAATGCTCTTCTGCGTTCGAGTTTTCTCGCTTATACGTATATTTTCCTCGTAATTTCGCTGTCGCGCAGATTCGTCAGTCGATTCCTCGTTCCTATTACTGATTCGATTGCCAAGTTCTTTCCCCACCCCCGTTTGTCATATACTATTTCAATTTTTCGTCTTTATCTTTCACTCGTGAGAAAATCCGTGGCGGGAGCAGCTCGAGCGAGCCTTCCCGAGTCGGGCGTGATTATTTGCGAGGAAAAATCCAGGATTGCGCCCGGACGGGCGGGCAGGACGATCTCGAAAACGTTCTGGCATGGCGCCACATCACCGTTTACGCCACGGCGCGGTGTGGCGGAAAAAGGAAATGGCCGTAAAGTTTTTTTCGAGAAATATGCCGCCGACCCGAGAAAGCACACGAAGGCGCGTTAACGTGACGCTGAGAGAATTACCATAACGGCCAATCTCGTTTCGCGTTCTCCGCGCGTTCCCTTCTTCCGGCACGCGGAGATTTATTCGCGCGAGCGGAGATTTAGTGAAAAACGCATTTACGCGTAGTCACGTGTGCATCCAATATTTTGGGTGTACATAGATCGATCTCAATCGGGGATAACTCGATGTGTCATGGTATTTTTGCTTTTTCGCTTTATCCTAAGTTTGCTATATGCTCGATACCGCAGATTAATTACACAGGCACACAAAAAATAAAAAGTGTCTTGGCCGAGACACTACACTAGTGTATTCCCATGTATTTTGACCCGCTGAATCCGAATCCGAAGTCAGAATTGTGAGATTGGCTCTCAGTTCCGAGCAAACCTCAAAAAAAGTTCAAAACTCCACGAAACGAACACTTTTTTTTTTAGGTTTGCTCGGAACTGAGAGCCAATCTGACAATTCTGACTTCGGATTCGGATTCAACGGGTCAAAATACATGGGAATACACTAGTGCGGTGTCTCGGCCAAGACACTTTTTATTTTTTGTGTGCCTGGTATTATTAATCTTCAACTCGCAAAATTGATCTATTATTCTCTTGTATAATCTTGCATACAGAAGTTATGATTAATCGAGAGATATCTCAAGTCAAAACTAGATAAATGCTCAAAATATTAATGATTAAAAATATTGTTAATTTTATCATTGCTAAACTTGTATGCAGTGAAAATGTATAACTTATGTATAATTTGAATGAGTTCGAGTAAGTTCGAAAAAATTTGATCAAATTTCAAGAGAATGAAAGAATTACGTGACATTTCTTTTATACGCAACCTACGATTAAAACCTACCATGTCCTTTTTTATTATTAAAATATTCGAAAGAAATTCTTTCATGCTTTCAGCTTCTGAGAAATGGATTTAATCTTAAAAAAAATCATATCGCCAGATCTCGCGGCGAGGCTCTCACCGGCGTTCATTTGGCGAACGTTAAACCTCAGTTAGCTGATTTCGCTCGTATCTCGTAACGGAAGCTCGTCCTCGTCGAGAAGGAAGTCGAGAGTCGTCGCGGGAGAGGATTTCGAAGACAACGTGCAGGCGAAAGGGAGGCAATTCGGAAGGACGTGGCGACGACGGGGGTGGGGCACTCATGTTTATATGCATTGTATTGCTAAAACCCTTTTAACCGAATTACATTTAGCGATTCTAGTGCCGCTTCTGTGTCTACGTAACTTTCCCTCCCACCGCGCCCTCCTTCTCCGTCATTCTCGTGCTCCGCCTCGCTCTGTCGCCACCTCCGTCTCTCTTTCACACGCTCTGAGATACGGCGCGTGTCTACGTATGCGAAGAGCTACTCCATCCGCCTTCGGGAGATCCCATACGACGTGGTGGTGAGCTGATGGCAAAGTTGATGGTGTGGGGAGCGGTGGGCCGATGGATGAGTGGCGGAGGGGTCGAGGACAGAGGGAGGAGGAAGGGGGACGAGCGCGATGGGGCTGGATTCCAAGAGTCGGAGAACGGCATCCCTGAATCCCTGATTCTCTTGGTAAACAAGTGCTTGGGTGATTCACTGCTTGTTCACTCCTATCGGCCGTCGTTTGTTTCTAGACGCCATTGCGTTCTACGATTCTACCTCGTTTTCCGGTCTAATGGATTTTGGGGGCCGTCGAGGGTTGCTTCGAGAGTCCCTCACGTTCCCCCTCTCTCTCTCTCTCTCTCTCTCTCTTCGTTTTTTTTCTCGAATTAGAGATTTTCTAGCATCTTTCGAACGTAGTTCCTGTCTAAAAATACGCGAAAGTTTTGACGCTGTCAATGATCTGTGGTAATGTTGGTAATGAAACATGTATGGTAACAAAACAGGATTTACGAGGATTTATTACTTCAACATGATAGTTCGGAATTTCCATTAAAGGTAAACGCAGATTTCGCAATTTGCATATCGCACAATTACCCTAATACAACATAAAATTTAGTTTTTTTCTTTCGTAACTGTATGTATAAAAATTACTATAACACAGTCTGGAATATACCAATACTACGAATTTTTCAAAATCCAATATATTTTATATTAATATTCTATTTCTAAGCCTTTACACGCTTATAGATCAATTCAATTTATACAGAAAAGTTTAAGAAAATTCGATCAATTTTCAAAATAGATTTTTTAAAATGTTTCCGACTATTTTTTTATTGTTATACAGAAGGAAAAAGGAATGTAATTTCACAATGGTGTCACGAGATATCTCAAGGGTCAAGCACCGCCATCTTTAACTTAGAACACCCCGCAAGGATCACGAGATATACGTCCCTGCCTTGGCTCGCGCGCATCTCGCGGCAGAGTCCGTCATTAGCGCTAACAAGGTTAGCCTGGGGCTGAAGGGGGTGGCGGGGGGCCCAGTGCGGGAGGCCGAAGGGGAATGCCCACCCTCCTCCAGCAACCTACCCTTGGCTCGCGCAACACATACACGCGTGTACACGTGCGCGAGCGCGTGTACGGGCGCACACACGTACACACGTACGAACTTGCGGCCGTAGCTTCCTTAGAACAAAAGGGGGGGATAATAAGATCTGCGACAATCAACCCCAACGACGACGACGCCGTCATGACGCTCTCTCGGACGAGCTTTCAGGCGACGTCCGTCACGTTACGTGCACATCTATCCCTCTTCTCTCATTCTCTCCATTCTCTTGCCCGCCGTCTCTTCGTCCCCTCTTTCCTTCGTCACACATGCCTACCTCCGCCTCCATCCTGATTTCTACATCTACCTACATCCGTCTCCATCCTCATCATTCGTTTCTATCTTCGGCTCTCTTTCTCGTTCTCTCCTCTTTGTCCTCATCCACGTTGTCCAACTCGCCCACATTATCCCTATCCTCTTCAAGCTTCTTGTTCTCACCACTATGGTGTAACTTCGAGGTAGGAAGCTATCCAGTTTCCACGACCGCCTTCCTTCCCTGCACGATTCGTCAACAATTCGCGTCCCCCGTTAAGACGCTGCAATAGCGTTCTTTGTAGATATTCAATAATGATAACAAAATCATAAAATTGAGAATTATATTTTAATACAAGATATATCTAGATTAATCTAGAAAATGATATATCTCGTATCTGATTTCTTTTATCTTCGAATAAAACAAGATTACTTATATAATTATATATATGTAAGTTTTAATACAAGTCAAATAATAATGAGGAATGAGCCGCATAATATCGTACACGTGTAATGGCGTAGAAGAATTAAACATCTCCATAAAAACTAACACAAGAATATAATCCGAGGCTTCTGCTGCGGAGTCTGGTCTATACTAGATCTTTCATCATATTTTCCTGAGTGCCGTTTCTAATTTGTCTTCCTAAGGGGCAACTTATCCATTACAAGATAGGTCGTCATAAAAGCCGAATCTATTAGGATTAAAGTCATAGGTCACGTGGAATATTGTTATGATCGTCGTTAGCAAGGCAAATTTTTATGCGCCAGAAAAGAACCGAACAAATCGGCTATGTTGCCTCTAATGAACTTGCCGACGAAGCAAAGAAATTACTTATCTTTAGACTTTTTTTCGTAATCGTTTTTCTCCTTGAGTTCTCATATTTTTATATATCGTAATTAATAATCGTATTATTTCAGACAAAAGGAGGAAAAATCGACTCTGAATTTGTGAAAGCATTACTTTAGTTTTTTTTTTTTCTGAAATTTCTAAGGCATTCTACCATACATACAGAATTTCCATAATTATCTGGACAAAGTCAAAATTATAGCTCGTTGTTTGAAATTTATATTTCACACTTCTACCTTTTTCTCTACGTGAGCTACGTATAAACATTCGACACTCACAGCGCACGAATGCTCGCACGATATATCGCCGGGCGAAAGAGACTAAGCCGAGATGTCCGGCCGGCGGTTCGGTAAACATGACAAAGACTCATAGATCAGTCGCTGATCCGTGCTGCCGAGCTGTTCTTACCTCGCAGGACGGACCACAACGTTAAGTACGGTGACCGGCAAGCATGGATTGTGTTGGTCGAGTCGATTGTGTGTAAGTGCCTCGGAAGGAGAGGTGGAGAATAGAATTAGGCGAGGAGGTGCCGGAGAGGTTGAGCGCGGGGCGGGGGCGGCAGGGTGGAGGGAAGGGAAGGCAGTCCGAGAGTGGAGTGAGGAACTCGAGGGGTTGCGGGAGGCTGGAAGGAGCTAACCGCATCGTAATCAACGTAAAATGGCGTCGGGAACAGGGAACGGAGAACGGAGGAGCCTCCTGAGGTCGTGCCGCCATTGTTGATCACCCTCACCCTCGTATAATACGTGCTATACGGTTCGCCCAGGGATGCACCCTCCGTGGGCACCGCGTCGAGGTTCTTATATAGCCCGGCGGAATTTTATATCGCGCCCGGACGGATGCGAAACGTTTTACGATCGTGTAAAAGCGCGATTTCGGAATATAACTTAAGACTTCGACGTTGCGAGTGCTTGTAACAATATATATTGACGCACGATAAAACTGAAAAAGCTAAATTTTTATATAAAATAATACTACCATTTTTTTTAAGCTATTAGCAACTTCACGTTTTACATTTCCAAAAAGTGAAAATAAAATTTAATATACTATACTTTCTGCCCGATTATTTTGATACATATTTGAAATATTATTTTTCACGCAAAAACTCGAGAAGATATCACAACGCGGTAGCTTTTACGTTAAGTACTTCCGAGCCCTTTTATTCCTCGAGACGAGGAGTATCTGATTCATAATACTGTTCTGCCCGACGGTTCATTTTGTATTTTACGATAAATCCCCGGTACGCTGGCGAGAAAGCGCGCCTCGCCGTCCGAAGTTGGATTCGACCCTGCGGGATGCTCGGCAAGTCGTAATAAATTACGCAGAAGTGGAGCCGTGAGCGGAGATTACTGGCCCGGTTTCTCCCACCATAGCATAGCAGCATCCGCCGGCTCCTATTTCACCACCAACCACTCCCCTTTTCACCACCGCCTGCACGATGGCGATGGCAGTTTCTCTTAAGCCCCCGCCGCCTGCCTGCCTGCCTGCCTGCCTGCTGCTTCTAGCTGCTGCAATTTTGACGGGTGCACGCCAAATGCGACGCTAATGAAATCGACTCGCGATTCGCGCTGCGGATTCAACGACACGGAAACCGCTCCGCAACGTTATACGGAGGTACATTTCAATCATGCCGTATGATCTCATTCGCAGCTCCAACGTTCCGGTATTATTCAGTGCTCTTTCGAGCGATAAGATATATTCAAATGGTAAAGATACGAGTAACGATTCGTATGTACGTGTTTGCACTTTGGTAAAAATTAAAATCAGAATGTTTAATACTTTTGATTTGTTCAACTTCCAGGCAATTAATTTGACACGAGTGACTTGATGGCAAATATAAAAAAAATCGCGACTTAGGCATCTCTGACATTTAACCAGTCATATATATATGTATCCAAATTCGAACATCGATTTGCATATATATTCAATATATTTTGAATATAGCCGAACGTTTTTCTTTTGTAAAAAAAAAAAATACGAGAATAGATTCGTTTGCTCTGGAACATACTCGAGAACGGCGCGGCGAATTAACAAGCCTCTCGTGATTTCGAATCCGTCCGCAACGAGCGTCGCCAACAAAGTCGGAGTAATTCGGATTGGCTGCGCGCGGCAGATCGCATAAAAATTCAGGGAAGTACTCTCTGAACGGTTCATTTCACCCGGGCTGATCGTGTTCGACTCAGCCTCGAGGGCAACATACATTATGGTGTGCTGACTGCCTACCATCTTCTCCGATAACGCAATTTAATCCCGAGAATGATATAAGGAACGCTTTTGTGTTATCCGCGCCGTTCCCGGAATACGTATATTCCTCCTTTCTCTTCGAAATTGCGCGAGCTGCACGAGTGAGATTTAAACGCGTTTTCTAATTCCCTGGGACTGCGGTACTTTCCTCGCGATAGTCGTATCGAGAATGCTTACAAGAAAGATTATATTCTCTCTGATAGAGGGAAGAATCCAGTTAAATGAGATTTTTTAATATGACTCAAAAGTATAATGAGTCTAGTTTCTTTCAGAGGAGAAATAAAATTATAAACGAGCATTCTTGTGCTTTAAATTTAAAACTTAAATTTGAAATTATACTTTGTCATTCTCAATTCATCTCTCGGACAGTTTTTGCCTTTATCAAAATCTAAGTCTTGATACAATATTTATCGACAATTATAATTTTGTCGTTGCAAGTGATCCTTTAATGGTACATAAAATATAGACATAAAATACAGACACGATCAAACAAACAATTATTACAAAACAATAGCAAAAAGATTATCTAGAGGCACGAATATTAGATACTAATTCTACCTTATCGATGGAACAAAAACGTTAGATATTGTTGCTCAAAATTCAATACTGTCCAGTGATTGCACAGAATATGTCCCAATATCTTACTCAATGACTTATCTTCAATAAACAGTGTTATTGATAACAATTGCTAATAAAATCAACTGAAGATAAATCATTGACCGTGATACCATACCTCGCGTTATACTGGCTGCTGGTACCATTGCGAACTATTCTAATCGATAATATAACTCCTGTAGAAACATACGATTTAATCATTTGTATATAATGCAAAATGCTTTGCCTAAAAATTACGTATTGAAAAACAAATAATACACTTTTCTAGCGAAAAATATTTATTTTGTTAAAAAAAAAAGGACATACTTTAGATCTTCCAAATATTACAAACATTAAGAACATCAAAATATTTCATGGTAGAAAAAAGGAAGAAGTTTTGGATAAAATTAAAAATGTGTATTATCGTGTATATAATATTTATCGTTGTATATTTTAATGTGTTGTAATTTAAAAAGAGGTATTATCCTGTTGGTTTGATATTATTTCAAATCCACAATTGCAAGTAAAGTAAGTTCCTGAGTGTTTAAAACCTGTGCAGATGAGCTCAGAAGTAATAAAACCGTTCAAATTTTAAGAAATTTTTGACGCTAGCTGTGTTCAAAGGGAACGTGTTCGAATAACCCGCCACATGCTATCGTAGGCAGTATGGCGAGCCGTACACCCGGCAATAGCGACTCATTCGACGGTGTTTTGTACCTCGTAAAACGACAGATCGATAAGAAACCCGTCACGGTCCACGAGTCGGAGTACGCCGGAAAAACGCATCACGTGTTGATAAGGTTAATCAACGGCGATAAGGCATCGCGTTATTCAGTAGACCGTCGCGAGCTCCCGCAGAACGAGGTACGTCGGCTCTGTCAAAGTTTACCGGATCCCGAGATGCTTTATTAAAATCCGCCGCCACGTAGTAAGGTTGTTCCTTCTTCTCTGCGTGCTTTAGCGAACGGCTGACAACAGCACAGCCGGCGCCGCTATAGTCGCCCGTAAACAACTGTGTGCTCGTGCGCTTGCGTCGCCCGTATCACGGCGCTATTACAAAGTATGTGTATCATGTACATACCGCGAAATAATTGCTTTGCTTTTCATCACTGCACCAGACCTAAGCAGAACTTTCCTTCTCGCTTGCGTCAAGCTTTAAGCAATATATCTATTTTACTTTAAGACAGTGTACGTTAGTTTGACTATTAAAAAAACCGACCTAATGTGTGTGCGATGTATCAAATAAAGATCACAATATCCGGCCGACTTTTTGTAAACATGGTCGGAACGACGCGACGTTCGGTTGTCATAATTTCTTAGCGAGCGGAGACTGCTGAAATTTTTATGGAATTTTTAATCGAGAAATTTTAAAAGAATAAATATTAGAACTAATTACCCGCATAAATAAATAAAAAAATATTTCTATTTTATTTGTGTCTTCGATTTTTCAAAGCAGTAGAAAGAGAGAAACAGAAAGAAAGAAAGAGAGAGAGAGAGAGAGAGATATCAAGTTTAAAATGATTATTTTTACCGGAAGAAGTCTTTCACAATACCTGCGGTCGCATCGCTCAACTTTCTCTTATGCATAAAAATTAGATAAACGATTGCGCAATGAGCAGCAGATGTTCTGTTGAACATCTGTATTATTACGTAACAAGAGTCACAAGGTAACAATAACACTGATTAGTATCGATGTTTAAAAATTAAAAAAAAATATTTGATACGCTTGTGTACTAAAACATATCTAGCTGCGGTGCTCTTTTTCGTCAACATATTGAATTATTTGAACACTTGGTTTCTAGTTATTTATAACTTGTAAATAAATTGTTGATGTTTTCGTATTTTTATTAACGAAAAGCCAAAAAAGATCATAGATAAGATACAAAGGAATCGTAGATAAAATACAGAAAATATCGGAGACAATATGTATATCATATATATCTGTTATTATAAATTTAACTAATTTGGCAATTATACAATAATTGCCAATCATTTTGGTAAATTTATATTTTCATTCAATTTATCATATTTACTGATAATTATGAATAATCTCCAGTATTCAATTGACAAATGTAATAAATGCAAGTTAATCGTTTTTCTGGCAATTATGTAAAATTACCAGTAAAGATGATTATTTTAATGAAATTTATCACACTAACCATCTGTATTGGTAATTATATAATTATCGATTATGAATTAATAACATTTACGGCAAAATCGATTCCTTACATGTCTTTAAAAACATATATTGAAACCGTGAATAGCCAGTCGGCAGTTCAAATTATCGTACTAAACTCTGATATACTAAATCAGAAAAAGAGAGAGAGCAATATTTGAGCTCGACAGAGAGTTACCTTATTAATAAATTACTGGATGGTCGAGTTTTTTTGTGCATAACGTGCATTATCCGAATCTAAAATATCAATTTGATAATGATTGATATATACTTTGAAGTACCAGGTAACACTCGACCATATTGATGACATTATCATTTGTATATCTTATCATTTGATAAAAGAAACGAATACTAAAGCTTATAAGCTGGATTATATGCAAACTGCAAACAATGTCTGTTTATTGTAATGTATTATATGGAAGTTTTCATTGTGCTTGCAATATCTTAGGAAATAGCACGAAGAAGAAATATCTTCAACGAAAGAAACTCGTAAAGGTAAAACGTTATGTTAGGTCAGTATGTTGCTGCATTGACCATTCCATTTCCGGCACAAATGCAATTCTGCCGTCATGCATTATATAGTGGCTCCATAAATCTTATTCAGTTTATATAATGCCGCATTAACTCGTCAATAATTTCACGATGTGAAGCAGAGCTTGTGTACTCTGCGATCTCAATAATAATGAACGTTTGAATAAAAGCACCGCAGTGAGCCGCGAGAATTAGAGGCTTCACACGGTAATGAAATTTAATCGCAAGGAATTTATTATATACTTTATTGTTTATTAATATATGTTTGTTTTTATCTTATAAAAAGGTCACCGCAGTATGATACGACCGAGGGCAGTTATCAATTATTTTCGTGGAAATATTCTCATTTCGCCTTCTAATAAAAATTGTCAACCGCACAATTTCCATATATTTAATATATTACTACATATTCAGCTATATTACATGTTATGTGTTACACATTTTAAATTAGATATATATGGACAGAAATTAATATTATATTGCTATATAATTATATATAATGCCTTTTGAAGGTATTTCTTGTTACATAATCGTATAGTTATATTGAGAATAAGAGGTTTAAATAGAAATTACCCAGCAATGTCGCTGCAAACATATCCTACTCAATGTATTTCCTGTAGCTTAACTTGAAACAGTATCCTAATATTCCTAATTACTAACAAAGTTACCGTCAATACCAAAACACGGTATTTAATCATGCAACCGCATCGTGTAACGGCGTAATTTCGTTAAACTAATTGTGCGATGGAAATAATAACGGAACTTTCAAAAAGGTGTAATGCGAATGCGAATTATTCCATTTGGGATAATTGGACGAAGCATCTCACAGTATTAGGAAGTCTTAATTCTTATGTCTCTGCGCAGGTATATAGCTATTAGAAATGTCCCATATTGCTATCGTTGATAAAGAAGAGAATATCGGGGATTCCATCAAAGACTATGTGCCCATCTTGGCACCCTCTGCCGATATTTTACCGCGATTAAAGACCTTAGCCGCTCATTTTACCTCGAAATACAACGTGGAGCCATCCTTCTTCGTTCGAGTACCAGGAAGGTATAAGTTTCTTTTTGATAATAAATTATCTTTTCTTATAAGCTCTACCAAATACTTAATATAAAATTAATTACACAATGTATTACGTATAATTTAATACGGATACTATAATTGTCATGCAATTAAATTTATATCTTTATTTTTGAAAGGCAGCATTTAAGTTTTATAATTAGCTTCTAAAGATTTTGTAAACTGCTTTAGTAACGATAAATACATTTACGAATATTTCTGTTTTGTTACAGGGTGAATCTGATAGGCGAGCACATCGATTACTGCGGGTATGCCGTCCTTCCAATGGCCATTGAACAAAATATCCTTATCGCGGTTGCGACATCGAAAGATAATGAGATTCATCTCACCAACGTAGATCCTAAATACAAGGATTTCCGATGCAGTTTCGAGAACGTGGAGTGAGTACAATTTGATAAGAGTCTAACAAGTTTATTCAGAGAACAATATTATAGTCAATAGTTTATAGTACAAGTTTGAAGACTTGTTAATTAACTTTATAATAAAGAAATAACTGTTTATTCCGCCAATAACTTTATAATAGTTCGTAAAAACTAAGCGACACATTTAAAGAAACTTTCCTGAGATTACTAAGATCTTGCGATACACAACGTGTCTAATATACAACGCAGTATACCGCACGTGACATATAACATTTCCTCCGCAACGCGTTGTCGTGCTCGCAGTTGTGGTCTTATGCACTTATATAGGCACTTATAGTCCCCCTAACAATTTAAGTCTGCTGATCTCTTACCGCGACTATCTTGGATTATGACGCTGAAGCTATAGAATTACGTGCAATTTATCTTTACAGCGTACGTGCGTTCATATTAGTTGAGATAAAATCCCTTTCCATCTCGCGATTAAATTAATTTGAATGAAAAGCAAGATTGTTATTTCACGATGTGAAAACCGGATAAAAAAAATATAAAAAATGACCAATGGATCCGTGTTACGTAATATAAGATAAGAAGATGACATCGTGTCCTCGTATAACCTGGCTGTCGTTTGGATTAAATTACCTCCGCGCTTTTTTTACTCCCGGTATAATACTGAGGAAGATAATATAAATTTTCTTAATCTCATTCATTATTCAATTTCGCTCAACCACCGGATATAACATATAACATCATATAACAAAATTGGTGTCCAAAAATGGACCATTATCGATATTCCGGTTTTTCATATTACGCGTTAATTATTACGTAATAACCTGACAAAAGGGAAAAAAGGCTAAATATCCGAATAAAATATTTAATAAATACTGTAATAATCTTTCTTGTGATGCTGAGGGTTAAATTTCTATAAACGTAGCATAATCGCGCATTTCAGATCTTGTATTAGTGATAGTGAGAGCGGATCAGCGTGGTACAAATATTTTCTATGTGGTGTGAAAGGAGCACTGGAGGCAATCCCAGCGACGTCTGTTCCAACGGGAATTCTGACTGCGGTATGGGGAAACATTCCCCCTAATTCTGGCCTTTCCAGTTCTAGCGCGCTGGTCTCGGCCGCGCTCCTTTCGGTCATACATGCTAGTCAGGTGAGCGCTTTAATTATTTATCTTATGCGCAAGATGTTAAATATTATACTTTCTGCCCCATATTACAGAAATAATGTCATAAGCGTGTCATCTAAAAAAATAATTAACAGAGTGCTGCGCGTAAATGTCAAAACTAAAGTTTGCAAATTACTTTTTTACACATTAATTGGCTCTAGAGATGTTTCTCACTTTGATGCAAAGTTACCCCGACACAATTCCTTCATATAAAATTCTCTAATTAAACTTTCCTCCAGCAGATCTGCTACAAACGTAAAAACGATATCGTATTTGTCGATGTCAAGTATTAAGTGTTGAGAGGTATTGTGTTTAGCCGAGAGCCGAGTGAATCAAATTACCAATCACTGCTTCGTATAACATTCTTTTGGATATAAATCCTATTTCCTTTGACGATGACGATGTTTTTCGTGTTTACTCGAATAGATATTAAAGGCGACATAGCCACCGCGAATCTTTGAGATAGTTTAATTTTTTTTATTGTTCTTCGTGCGTCATTACCTTATGTATATACGTCTCAGCTTTCTATATAAATCTTATGTCCAGATTTCGACAGTTTTCATTTTAAGTTTGTTCTCCGCAAACTCTTTGTTATTTTATTCAGATCATGAATATGCATTATTATCTTTTTTATAAATTATCACTATAAATTATAATCGTTACTATAAAAAATATTATTATTCAAGTTCTTTGTATTGCAGCGTCAATTGTCAAAGCGTGAATTAGCGACTCTTAGTGCTCGAGCAGAGAGACACATCGGCACTCAAGGTGGCGGAATGGATCAGGCTATCGCTTTTCTTGCGAAAGCAGGTAATCTTGACTTTTATTGATCGTACATTACGTATTGTAAATCACATATTACCCGTTATAAAATTTTATAAAACGTATTTTTAAAAATTAAATCTAAAAAGAAAATCTCATAAATTAATCTATTTAATTAAAGTAATTCGCCAGAACTGTTTGATCGCGTTTAAAACGAGACTCTAGAATCGTGTTAAAAAGCTGTCAATGTCTCATTTTTTCGCGATATTTTCTGTTTGTAAAGGTAAGGCCAAGTTGATAGAGTTTCCCTCGGATGAACCCCTACGCGCAACTGACGTAACGTTGACAGAATCCGCTGTGTTCGTAATAGCGCATAGTCAAGCGTATCACAACAAAGCCTCGACCGCCGACTACAATCTCAGAGTTGCGGAATGTCGATTAGCCGCACAGGTATTTATATTTTTATGTATGTATATATTAATGTCGCATTTCTCCCCCAAGAAAAGGAATTTTCGTTGCAACTATTATTATATATTTCCAAATGTCAATTTAGAATATAATTAACGTGATTATAAGACCCGATATAATTTACCTTTTCGGTTCAAATGTCGCGAAGTTCTTTAAATATCCATAAAAAAAA